GCCCATAATCTTGGCTTGAACCATCGACGTTTACCCTGGCCCTGTCGCACACTGCTCGGTCAGAAAACGGTCAAACGCAGAGGGGCCCGTGTCCGAAAGAACGTCAAAGGGCGTGGTCAATGTGAAAGTTCGTGGTGACCTCCACTAGTCACCTTTAACCATCCGTGACCTTGATTTCGACCTTGAGTCCAAACTTCCCATCAATCTCGGGCCCTTTTCGTTTATGCTTGCCGTGACCCTATTTCTTACTGTATTATCAAAGTTAATGCTTGAGGTGAAATCAAAGACAATGTCCCTCAGAAAAGATAATTGGGTCAAATTCGTAGGTCAAGGTCATGTTATAGAAAACTGAACTCAAACTTTTCAAGGTCAGTTTTGGGACATTTGACCTTGACTTACGAGCTTGACCCGTAACCATTTTCAAAGCCCATCATCTTGGCTTGAACCATCGACTTTTACCCTGGCCCTGTCCCAAAAATGAAATAAGGTCACGGCACGCATAAACGCAAAGGGTCCGAGATGGATGGGAAGTTCGGACTCTAGGTCAGGGTCAAGGTCACGGATGGTTAACGGTGACTAGTGGAGGTCACCACGACCTTTCACATTGACCACGCCCATTGACTTCCTTTCGGACACGGGCCCCTCTCCGTTTGACCCTTTTCTGACCGAGCAGTGTGTGACAGAACCAAGGTAAGCGTCCATGATTCAAGCCATGGTGATAGCCTTCGAAAATGGTTACGGGGTCAAGGTCGTAAGTCAAGGTCAAATGTCCAAAAAATGACTTTGAAAAGTTTGAGTTTAGTTTTCTGTAACATGACCTTGACCTACGACTTTGACCCAATCATCTTTTCCGAAGGACGTCGTCTCTGCTTTCACCTCGAACATTAACTTTGAAAATACAGTAAGAAATAAGGCCACGGCAATCATAAACGCAAAGGCCCTGATATGGATGGGAAGTTAAGACTCAAGGTCAAAATCAAGGTCACGGCAATATTCACACCTAAAGGCCAATCCACTGATCAACACCAAATAGTATTTTATAGAACATGGTGGCTTCGCGCAAAAATTAAAGTATACGAAAATTATATTAATTTTTATGAACTGCAGAGATAGGCAGCTAGTGCAGTGTGTCGGTTTCCGTCTTAGTGTCTTGTTATTCGAGTCTAAATAGTAAACAAAGCAAATGGCGTCAAACAGATGAAGTTCTCTCTCGTTAGAAATTAAAAGGTCGGTAAAATAAAAATGTTATTGATCGATTCGGCTGAAATTTGGTGTGTGGTCATTGCTAGTCCCCCTTAACATCCTCTAATAATTTCAAGTTCCTACGACCACGGGAACTGGTAGAGGTACGAAAGTGCAATAGCGCCGAACGACGGGAGTGACCTGGATGCGGACAGTCAAGTCGCATCCGTTAACAACCTATTTCATTCATTGTTCAAAGACGTCAAATTACGCTTGGGAAAAGATGCCAACAGCTTGGTCACCACTTCTCTGCCAAACTATCCCTACCGGGCTTACTTGGAGAATTTGTTGAGTTTCGGTAAGGGAGCCAAGAACGATCACCTGTCGAAACAAGTCCTGTGGGAAAAAGACACCGCCGGTCAGTTCGATTCTTTGAGATCCGTTGCCACCATGGTGGACGGTGTACGACAGGTGCCGAGTAACAAAGGATTGGAACAACGTCAGAAAGTCATCGCTGCCAGTCGCACCTTTGAACTACAGTCACGTCTACACTTGGACATGTGTCTAAAAGATCGGTATCTGCTTAGCGGTATTGACGTGCGACTGAAATTGGAAAAACACTCTCCGAAATTTTTTCTGATGTACGGCGAAGGCAAGGATGTAGAAGACTACAAAGTCGAATTCATCAAAGCCTACCTGGATATCCCGTTCGTCACACTGAATCCCAGTACCCGGAAGAGCAACTTCTATCGTCCAACGCCAAGTATCCGGTGAATCGCGTGGTGGTCCGAGACATGGTCATTCTCGACAACCGCACTCATCACATCCTAGGTAATCTGTTCGACAAGGATATCTTGCCGAAGAGACTGATCGTGGGGTTGGTGCGCAACACGGCCTAAGACGGAAGAAAAAACAGAAATCCGTTCCATTTCGAACACAATCAATTGGAAAACATCAAACTGACCAAGCACGGGGAAATCGTGAGCGAATACGACGTGAACTTTCCCCAGCGACAAGCCATCGCACCCTACCTGGATTTGATGAAAAGGGTGGCCGTCTTAAACACCAGAGAAGACCTGGACCTCCCTTTCCACGACTATATTAATGGGTACAACTTGTATTGTTTTGATTTGACCAACGACCACGGAGCCGACGGTAACTACTTTCATCTGAAAGAGACAGGTGAACTGAATTTGGAACTCAAGTTCGGTACGGCCCCGACAAATCACCCCAGTCTTGTTCTGTTTGCCGAATACGACAATGTCTTGGAAATCGACCACTTACGGAAAATCATCACCGATTGGTGAGGCTCTCTCCAACCGACAACTGACACGATCTTTAAAAAAACATCTCCCCGCTCCCATTTTGGGAGGTGTATGGGCTCGTAATCACCTGGATATACTGCACCCGACCTCGTACCCCAAAGCCTACGTCATCAACACGGACGACGAAGACCAACCGGGCAAACATTGGACCGTGTTTGTGTGTGAAGGGCCAAATCACGTCACCTTCTTTGATTCATATGGTTGACCCCCTGATATCTATGGAGACGCCTTTCGACGTTTCGTTCAAGATCAACGACTCGACTACCAACCCAGATGGATTCAAGGACTCGACAGTGTCGTGTGCGGACATTATTGCTTGTATTTTCTGTGTCATCGATTTCACGTTCCTTCCCCATACCCCCTTTCTATTTTCGGTCGCGTGTATCGTGTAAACGATATACTCGTCGAACAATGGGCTAGGGATCATTTTCCCAACTTGCAAGAGGAACAGAAGAAGGGTCAACGATGTCGATGCTTTTTTGCTCTGTAAATATGTTTTTTGTAAGTTTGATTTGTCATGATAACTTTGTAAGTTTTGTTCAATAAAATGTCGACAACATATCACGTGTCTGGTTTTTTTTGTGACGTCATGTTTTTTTTGTGACGTCATGCTATTCTGATTGGTGGAAAATGGTATCGTCCCAACACTTTAGACTCGTCCCGTCCCGTGCCATAAATAGGAGTGTCAAAGCCAGAGATGTCATTAGCAAAATGGATCGAATTCCAAAAGATCATCGATTTTGCAAGACTTGTGGGGGGTATTACCCTATGTTTAAGGGTAATCAGCCGGAGTAATCAGTTCAATAAAATGTCGACAACATATCACGTGTCTGTTTTTTTTTGTGACGTCATGTTTTTTTGTGACGTCATGCTATTCTGATTGGTGGAAAATGGTATCGTCCCAACACTTTAGACTCGTCCCGTCCCGTGCCATAAATAGGAGTGTCAAAGTCAGAGATGTCATTAGCAAAATGGATCGAATTCCAAAAGATCATCGATTTTGCAAGACTTGTGGGGGGTATTACCCTATGTTTAAGGGTAATCAGCCGGATGCCGATTACCTGGTCTGTTTGTGGTGTGGGACAGAAATTGGGAACACATGCCATAGACGGAGCAAACACTTGCACAAATGCTCGAAAAAACCCAATCGGTGGGAGCAGCGGAAGTGTTGTTGTTAGACGAGAGACGAACGGCCCTTTTCAGGGCCAACCAACTTATGCAATGTAAAAAGAGTTGTTTCCCCTTCCTCTCCCCTTCCCCCTTCTGCTCTCTTCCTCTTCTTCTTCTTCTTTCCTCTGCGCTCTCTCTCTCTCTCTTCCCGCGCGCGCGTCCTCTCTTTTCTAGGTCACGGGGTCACGCACGTGCAGGGGTCACACATGTGCAAGGTCACGCACCTGCAAGGGGTCACTCAGTGCAAGGTCACGCACCTGCAAGGTCACGGGGTCATTCAGTGCAAGGTCACGTGCACGCGCAAAAAAAATGGCTGTACAAGCCCCATAACTACTATTAGTCTAGTAACTAGAATTAGTCCAGTCCAAGGTCGCTAGAAGACGATGATTTTGTGCACTGCAAATGCTTTTCCGCTATTAGACCATCGACAAAATCATTATTGTCAGATTTGAGTAAATTCTCATGTTCGGAAATTCTAGTTGTCAAGACGTCCCTAACTGACCCACCCCAAAAGAAGCGAAGCTAGATTAGCTCATTAGCTAGATCATATATATTGTACATCAGCATGGAGGAACCTTGTTTGGGCTAATATTTTTTTTACAGGGGGTGGTCCGGGCGAAGGCTCGTAGAACCATAGGTCAAGCAAAGAAATCTTCATGGCAAGGTTACGTCTCAAGGATTAATTCCCGTATCACATCTAAGTCGGTATGGGATAGGATTCGTAGGATTAAAGGTAAAAGTAGTGCATTATCAGTTAACCATCTAAATGTTGATAACACCACCTTATCAGGATATTGCTAATTCTCTGGCCAGTACAATTTCATTTAATTCATCATCCAATTTCTCCTCTGATGCCTTTCGGGGCATTAAACAACCACACTTTAAGAGGAAAATGAAAACGTGTTTTAAACACAATTTGAGCAAATCCCAGGATAATGGAAGATGTTTAAAACTACTGTATGATGTATCAGTGCGTGTCGACCCCATACGACCATAGATCGTGAGGCTCATGCTCTGCCCAGCCTATAGGTAAATCCGGCACCGCTGCCAAGTCTTCAGGTAGATCCTGAAAAAATGTCCCCCCCCCCATCGAAATAAAAAGTTTCCGACCATAGCTCTAAAATACGTACTGTAGAATGTGCCCCACCCCCGTAAAAAGTCCACTGCTCCTCCGCTGCTACGGGCCTGTGCACTGGATATAGAAGATTCTACAAACCGCTTTTCGTGTAGTTCCGCTTTTCATGACGCAAGGGGGTCACGCTTTCCTTTTGCCGCTTTTCTGTCACATGCCGTACTGGCAGCTTTCACTTGTATGTATGGAGAACAGAATACGACAAGATTTTCATTTTACTTTCGCATATTATTTATTTACACAATAAATGTCTCTTGAGCCTATACACATTCGAGTGTTGCGATAACCTTTCTCTGTGAGTATATTGTGAAAAGTAAAATTGGTGATCATTTTCTCTTCGTTTCCTAAATGTTTCTTAAATACTGTCACGATTAAATGTTAAACGAAACAACATTTATTATACACGGCTATTAAAAAAATTATTATGGCTGCGCAGGATTACACAATAATTATTGCGACCTTTCATCATACAAGATTATATCGGCCAACTCGGAATAATTAAAACGCATATGTATAGTTTCAATGTCAGCAGTAATAATATTTCTTTGTGAAACCGCTTCCAGCAAGAAATCGATATTAGCAGGTATTCTCAACTGATGATCGATTACAATGATTAATCGTTGTGGTGTTGTAAGTGTTATGGCTGATAAACAGTTACACATTGTAAAATAAGCCAAATCACTTTTTAGGAAATCTTCAGTTAAAACTAAAACTACTTTCCAACTGTCTCTAATAGCTTCAAATATATCAACTTCGTGAGAACCACCGGGTAAATGATCTCTGTCACGTATGTTTAATTTTATTTTACGACTTGACTCTAGTTCACTTCTTAGTTCATTACACACCCAACTATAAATAGAATCAGTGTAGATTATATAGGCGTCATACAAAAATTCATTCCGTTTCTTGGGATAAATATTTTGTCCGATCATCCTTAAAAGTATCAATTTTAGTTTCATCTTATTTTTTATGAAAATAAAAGCTGTTATCAGAGTAACAACAACAACACTTATTCCACCCATAGAGACATTTAACCAAAATTCTGAAACACAGTATCTCTGAAACGCTTTCCATTTGGTTTGGACTGTTTTAGTGTAGCTCATCTGCCCGGTAACGTCCATGCACGAATAATTACCACCATCTAACTTAACACTGGTTTCTTGCAACCAAATTAAAAATCCAGTCGACTCACAAATACAAGAAAAAGTGTTTCCCCAAAGTGACAAATTTAACCCATTATTAATTTCTGCTGTTTTATCCAACATCATTCTGTATTTATTTTCAAGTGTTGTAAATGAGTTGTGACTCAGATCTATAAAGTTCAGTTTACCAAGAGATGTTAAATCTGGTATTGTTATCAAATTATTAAAAGCCAGATTAACAACTTGTAATGTAACAAGAGAGCTGAATATATCATATGGTAAAAAGACAAGGCCATTGTCAGATAAATCAAGGTTTTCTAATTTCTTTAACTGACCAAACAGTCTTTTACCATGTCGTGATATAAAACCATTATCAAATTGAACGCAGCTTAAACGTAATTGTTTCAAATTTGGAAATGTATCAAAAAACGTTTCATTGGTTAAGCTCATGTCATTGTGACTGAAATCCAAAATTTCCAGATTTTCTAAACCTCTAAGTGTATGGTTGAAATCCGTGAAGCCACTGTATGAGAGATTTAGTGACAGCAGGTTTGTTCCATTCAAAAACTGAATATTCCACAAGGGTCCGGAATGTGCAGCTATGCCAGCAATATTTACCGATTTGATCTTTGGGGGCAGGAACAATGGTAGAAAAATGGGAAAAGGTACATGGCTTCCGTGATGTACCGATGTCGCATCATCAACAGCAAGATTCCTCTGAAGAGATATGTAAACCGTTTCTAAGTTTGATAAAAGTGGCATGCCTAAAAACCACAGCATAGATAGACCACCAAACCTAATTCTGTTATGCCTTAGTTTGATAGATTTCACGCATTTTATTAGGGGGCAATTAAACACGGGTACTCCTTGGAAATCCATGAATATTATGTTACTTAAATGTAAATCAATATGGCTAACGCACATCTGACATAAGGGTTTTACACTAATTGAAGACCCTGTTCCGATATCAATACTATCAGACTGAAAATCAGTGATGGAAACAGTTGACATGCTCTTATTTTGGAACACACTCAAGGCTTGGAAAACAATCTGCAAACCCCCTTTCATTAATGAACTGCCTTGCATAATGAAATCTGTTAAGTTAGATAAATAATTGAGTGAATAATTATGGAATGTTTGAAAAATGCACCCATTTAATTGTATATATGTTATCTGTGTTTTCATGAGTCCTTTAAAGGTTTCGTTAGTTAAGGTTCCAAGTCCACAGGAAAATGAAATTCCGTGTTTTACTGTATTACCTATAACCAGGTACCGCAGTTTAGTTAAATTCGAAAAACCAGATTTGAATACGGTTTGCGGGCCGGTATCAATGTTTAAATGTCTTAAATTTGTGAGTGATCCAAACACAATGTCAGGTAAATCATTTAATGGACTTCGATAAAATCCTAAAACATCTGATCTCATATTTAAGTTTGTAAGTGAATGAAGAGGTTTAAAAACATTAACTGGCAGGGAAGCTTCACTATAATTCAACACATGACCATTAAATTCCAATACCAACAATGATGATAATCCATTAAATGATGATGACTGTACTGTGTGGATAGGATTAAAACTAACATCAAGATATCGCAGATTAACTAGATGTAAGAAATCACCGTTATATAGAATTGTTATATTATTAAACGTAAGATCTAAAGATGTAGTGTTTACTGGAAGATTGTCAGTAACGTTAAGGATACCCATGTGTGAACAATCAACTGCTGTTCCATTATACTGGCAAATTGTAGCTATGTCCTCACTATATGTTGTTTCAAGCATAAGGATGATCGTAACCCAATTTTGAAACGAGATGCGTACGTCAACCATTATCTGCAATAAATGAAATGAACGTCAGATAATCGTGTATAATTAAATATAGTATTTATTTATTTATTAACAGCAAGTCACAGCATGTATAGATAAACATGGGCCCCTGTGAATGAGGGTTTTATTCATTGAGACAAAATAAATCAGATATTTCAATCATCACCTGAAATAAAACGAACCTTATATGATGTTGACATACCTTGTTTAGTAGTAATGTCTACATAATATAACACATTTATGTCCCTTCCTTGTATTCCACTAAACTAATAATCATGTATATGCATCACACTTTTAATAAGTAACCTTACGTCACAGGTTCTAATTCTTGGCTGTGACAGAAATTGTGTAAGATGTATTCGTGCAAATATAGTCTTTTATTCTGTACATGTAATGCATTGAATTATTATTCTCCAACAGGCCCAAACGACAATAAAACTCACCAAACAAAAATGAATGTGTACATAGTATCGTGAATATAGGTCGCACTTTTTTTTATTGTAGGCTATCATTGTTGAACAATGTATGTTCAGTAAAAGGGCGTATAAATCTAGAACTAATAAATCAAACAGAACGAGCTTATTTTTAATTTGGGTCATTAAACTGAGGTATACATTAAAGTTTAGCATCTTACGCCCTTGGTCCTTAGATGGATTAAGACTGTAATTCTATAACATTTTGGAACGTTCGGCTGATCTTAATATTTATAATCATAAAGAGCCCAACATGTCATTACTCATTAGTTGATAAATTATTGAAGGTGGTTGACCGTTTCGATACTTTTCTAGTCCGTGTCATTTTCGGAGGTGACTTTCCCCTAATCTATGTATGTCTCTTTATTTTCTGATCTATCCGCCTCGAAATCATAAATACTCACCAAAACCTGACAGAAAATGTAAATTCAAACGCCCTTCTTCAATTCTAGACCAAAATTGCTATGCAAAAAGGGAAAAGGTTGGAAAAGAAATAATTGCTATAAAAAGACGGACAATTCATGAAAAGACTGAAATAATTACTAGTCTTAATCCAGATTACAACCCCTAAGTTACAAATTACATATACGCCTAATCTTTATTCATCATTTACATTTTTATATTTCCGATAATCCACATACACCAAAATCAGACGAGATAACCTTCAATAAAATGAATCCAGAATTCGACAGAAGTTTTATAATGTTGGTAAATATCAACGACAAATTTCCAATTATTGATCTTTGGTCCCCTTTTCACTAAAAATAATGTACTGTACTTACTTATATTTACCAGTCTGCAGGCCTGTAGATGCTTCTGCGTTGAGTAGAGCGCAAATCTTTTGTAATATTATACTTACGTCTTATACTATTTAACGATTTATACTGGCTCAGTATTGAGGAGCATAATTATCACCATAGAGTTTCTATAATAGGCCTATATAACACTGTGGTTAAAACAATCCTTTGATACCGTCACCAAAGAAAACTACGGGATACACACAGAGAGCCCACTGAATAATTTATCGTGCAGGGTGTGTCAGGTATACCGAGTATTTCATTATGCATTTACATGTATACTATGTATATTTGACCCACATTCATCGCTTCATTGGATAGTTCTTGTGCTACATCCGGTTAGGATTGGTATTACTTACATTATAATATAATTTTATTATGTAGTATTTTTGGACATATAAAGGGTAGTGGGTTGGGGGTAATTAAATTTGTTGCTAGCTGTATCATTCGAATGTGTACATTTATTCCTAATGTTAGCTTGCATGAAGTGGACATTTTAAGCCAATAAACCGATGTACACCCATGGGCGTACGGGGTCGGTGAAGGTTAGGGGGTAGAACTGAAATGCCACAATAGGTGCAATATTAAGTAGACGTGATAATTCTTATCCACGGCTACAATTGATACACTATTCGAGGCTTTGCGCAAATAAAATTAGGTTCATTTACAAAATGTTCAACACATATCATCACAGATTGCATGGAAATAAGTAATTATGTTACAAATAGTGAATAGTGGAATCTTAATCTTACCGAACAGTTTTTCTGTATTTTCTAGTGACACGATATCACGTGATTCTGGTTCGGCAGACATTTTAAAATGAACAGAAATAATTATGCGGTAAGGTTCCACCTTTATTTCAATTTGAATTAGTTTATTATAATTTGTTAAGCTATGTAAAGTACAGTTTGAGGTCAGTGTAATTGGAAATTAAGGGAATTATGGGCCCGTAACTTTTTTGTAGTCAAATGACTACAAAACTTTGCTCAAAGGAAGGCCTTAGGACTGCCCACTATGGGCTGAGGATTAACTGGTTCTATGTCCACTTTTCACTAAAAATGAGATATTTGCATAAAAACTATCTTTGAATCAACAGGTGCTATGTACTGTGACCATGATTTAATTCAGAAGCGTCCTCTGGGTTAAATTGCCAAAAAAACACATAGGCCTTTGTTTAAATTTCAACCCATTCCCCAAAACAAAGTTCTATGCCCACTTTCACCAATATAATTCCTGGGTCTGGTGTCATGTGGTCTTTTGACAAAATGGCCGAAAGGGACACCAGCATGGCTGTATTTCTAAAGCAGAGAACTCGCCGTAAGGCCCTCAGAATATTGTCCAAGACTGAAATTCTTAATCTGTTAGAAAGGTATTGATTCAATGATTGTTAGGCAATTTAAGACAGCTTAGGCCTAATGTTTTGTTGAAACCCTATTTTTATTTTGTATGATCGTACACAGTAGTTCAGTACATAATGATGGAGATGGAACTAGTTGACATCAAGGCCCAAGGGATCTTTTACTATATATGCCAGACATGGGAACTCGGTTTTTCGTCCCATCCGAACGACTAGACAGCCGCTTCCTCCAGGCTAGCGAGCCAGCGCCTTACCCACTTGGCCAGCGTGGCTCCCTACCATCACAGGCTTACAGTGTAATATATTTATGATCTTTATCAAATGTACATGTCCTTTGCGGTAACCTAAGAGTGAGGTTACCTGTCCAATCAGTGGACAATGCTTTCTCTTCGTTAAATTTTGGGCCGGAAAAGGCTTTTTGTTATGTTTAATGCTTGAGAGTGTTATGTGTTACTTTTTCCGAAATCATATTTTTGTAGCTATTCAATAAATTGACACTCATGGTTAATCTTCGTCAGGCGAAAATGTAGCATGGATTTCAATACTAATTTTCATGAATTAAACCCATTTTGTTCTCCAGTAAACCAGAGTAACTATATATAGACCTAAGGGGTTACTTTGGCATAGGCTAAATATGTTTTACACAAATAGAAGGATTCTGAACCTGTGACAATGTAATCCCTGGGTTAGAGTTGCCACAGTTTTCGGCTAGTTTTTTTTAAAACAATGAGGCTGGATATAAAACTATGTGATTCGGACCGTCTTGAGACACAAGGTTCTATCTCCTAGATAGAACTTTGTGCCTGACAAATTCATAAAATTTTGTAAGTCACAAAGTCCCATCTCCATTTATCGTATTTCGGTTTGACAAGATCGGATACCACTCATTAGCTAGATTATATATATTGTACATCAGCATGGATGTACCTTGTTTGGGCTAATATTTTTACAGGGGTAGGCCTATTATTCAAAATAAAATCAGTATATCAAAGTATATGGGCAAAAATGTCCATTCCGTTACATGGTAAAACTACCCATTCCCTACTTCGAACTTGAATATCTCCTTTTAAAATTGAAAGGTCATCCAATAACGCTAAATACATCGGCCTATTAGCTATTTAAAGAAGAAATAGAAATCAACTATGTCAACTATGCCGAAAATTTGAGATCAATTTGTCTTTCCCGTCAATACTATAATAATAATAATAAGTTCTTTATTTTCAAAAGGGGGAAAAATTAGGCTTTGCAGCCTGTATTCAAGTTTTTCACTAGGTGTCACTGTCACTGTTGGATCAATGACCTATGACCTAGTAATGGTCAAGCAGGAAAATCCCACACAACAGAAAGAAAACGTTTATAGAAAGAGAAAGAAAAATCCAAACAATTAAGTTGACCGCACGTGATTGTCGCACAAATTGTATGTCTCTTCTGTTCGTCTGTTCAAAGGCATAAATCACTGACTAATGGAGAGGTTTTCACACATAAAACCAGGGAATAAGGTTGTGAAAGCACTCTGTTATAATATCATACATGTTTATATTATGCAATATAAATTAGTGCAGGCAGTCAAAGTACGCCTTTCCTGTTATAAATAATGATACCGGAAAAGACTTCTTGTATCGAGATAGACAAAACAAAAGATATTTTGTTAAAATTATATTGCGTAATCTCTTTTTTATGCTTTCTATTTAGACAACTGGCGTCAAGTTAATGACTTTGAATGGTTGCCTTTTCCAATAAGTCTTTACTGTGAACATGGTCTTTTACGTGGTAACTGAAAAGACAATCCAACAAATTTTGGTGTTGTTACATTTTTGTTGCCGTATTATGGCTATTGCATATACATATTCTTGGGTTATAAGTCAATAAAATACAGCGCCAATTTCCTTAAAAATTCGTTATTACTTTTCAAAATTTGTCTTTACCGTTATTGGTACGTTTAGGGGAAATTAGCCCATATCAAGAATGATCGTCGCCAGACATTCATCGGCGCGTTACCCCCGAAAAACGTCACTAATTGCCCAAAAGCTAAGCTAGATTAGCTCATTTACTAACCGCATAAAAGTTGATGCACAATGTTGAACTTATTATTGACATATATCAAGAATTACCGTCGGAAGCCATTTTCATTGGGAATTTACTAACCCCGAAATCTAAGCAAAAGTACCCCATTTACCAACCAATCAATACTTCACTTATTCAGCATATTCACATGTGTCAAGAATGACCACCCGACGTTTTCAGTGGTGAGGTACCACCGCCAGGAGTCTTAATTGTTCCACCCCAAAGACTAAGCAAGATGAGCCCATTTACTGAGCATACGAATGATCATCGCGAGACATTTTCAGGGGTGGGGTACTCCCGCCAGAAATCTAAATGCTTGACCCCAAAAGCTAATGTACATTAACACATGGCTAATGTATAAAATGTATCCCCAACATATCCCCACAAACCATAAATGACCACTTCCAAGTATCTTCAGTGTGAAGAACCATTGCAATGGGGAGCGTACAAACTGTAAATCGGGCACCCGTTCCCGTCAATAATTGTCTAACCGTGCTCACTGTAACTCTATATCTAGAGAACGAATGTGACCTTGGTACTGCATCTCTTGATGAACTAATTCTGGCCCAGAAGATGACGTATACAAGTCTTTTTCACTGTTCGGAGACTCATGAATTACCATATACAGAATATTTCAGACATAACGAACTTAGTTATTCTAGAACATGACACAGTGGAACATGGATTATTAAGTTGTTTATTTCTGGCATAAAAAACAGGGTATGTTCAAATTATCTGAAGTTCAACTTCACCATCTCGCCTGCAGCTTCTCATGATACACATAACCTTCTTCGCAACAGATTGAACTATTCATCCTTGTAAAAAGCTGAAATCAAGAAGATCAACCAACTAAAACTCAACAACCAAGTACCTATTATAAACATTTCAGAACGAATATATTACCCAAACTATTAATTATTATCAATCTTAGCCAACGTACCCTTTAAACAGATGACAAGAACATGATAATTATATCGTCAGTATTGAGAAGGGACTATGCCAGTTAGCACCAGAGCAATTCGATTGCAAATCTGCAATATCATCTTCAACCCTTCTGAACAACCAAACAATCACACAAAAAAAGAATATGATGTCCCAAAGAACTTACCGAAGATAAAGACATCACCTTTGTGGACAAAGCCAAGGCAGTTGTAATATTGAATACGCCGACTACATCAGCGCCGTAAACATTCTTCATAACGAAATAACCTACAAACACAGAGGAGTGAGGAAAGACCCCATTTTTGCCCATCAAACCGATTACCTGAAACACCACATTTCTCTTAACTCGCCTGCCTTGTGAAAGTGCCACCATCAAAACACACCCAAAGCCAAGTTGCATGTGAGCTCCGGAGACTCTGTCTTTTACAAAATAGTCCAATACTTTTCTGAACTATTATCACCACTAACTAAATCTGCTGACCCATTAATGCTTCACCACTAAGAATTTGGTAATAACATCAATGTAACCTCGTCTCTTGCGTTTTTGTCGACCTTGTCACGACCACCCACCACCTTACTCGACCACGCCAAAACACATCATTATGAAATTAAGAGAAACAGCCTCCAATTTCTAGATGTTATTGTTCGAAGAAGCAACAAATTGCCGAAACTTCGGTTTCTAGGGAACAAACCCACACCAAGCAATATCTACATTACTAATCCAACCACCGATCTCAGACCAAGAAAGCCATCATCACGACACTCACCAGCCGTGCCCTCAATATTTGTGACTATTCTTTCCTTTTTAATGGAATCCCCAACCAGACTTTTCAACATTTAACCGGTACCTCACGCTGCGAATCAACAAAACCGTCACGAAACTCTACTACAAAGTCAACAAAAACTGGTGTTAAGTGTGTTTATGGTTACTTACAA